ACGCCCGCGAGGCAGGGGAGAGAGCGGGCCTGGTGCCCCAAAGGGTGATGGATCGGCGTCCGCTCGAAGGTGCACCAGGCAGCAGACCGGCGGTCCCCGACTTGACGGATGAGCCAATGCCCACGGAACCCCCGGCCCCGACGGCCTGGGCCTGGATGGCGGGGTGTTTCCTGCACCAGGACGGACTTTCCCCGGGCCCCAGCAGGATGGTAAAACTGGAAGGGAAACCCGTACAGGCCTTCTTGGACTCCGGCAGTTCAGTCACCCTCGTGCAACCGTCCCTGGTACGACCCAGGCCCAGAGCAGAAATCCCAGTTGCCGCTGATGTGTGTGCACGGAGACACCCGCTATGTACCGGCCCATACGGTGCGGATCTCAGCGGAGCCCGGGACCTGGGCCATCGAGGTGGGCATTGTGCCGGATCTCCCCGTACCTCTGCTCCTGGGACGGGACTGGCCGGGGTTCCAGAAGCTCCTCCTCGGACCCAGGACGCCAGGCCGTACCGCCCGAAACGGGCCACGGCGACCCCGTCGGGGACCGCCCAAGGCCGGTCTACCTAGCGACGGACAGCGAGAGGGAGGGTGAGTGTCAGCCCCCTAATCTACCATCTGTCAACCTTGATGTGTTTTCCCAGGTTACGACCGGGGGCTCGTTCGGAAGGGAACAACGCGAAGACGACCACCTGCGGAACTGCTGGGATCAAGTGCGCTGCATTGATGAGGTAGACAGGCTCCCGGGGCCCCCCCCCCTCCCTCATTTCGAAATACGCAATGGTCTGCTGTACTGTGTTGCCCACAGGCGGGGGGAGGACAAATTCCTCCTGGTCATGCCTACCACCAAGACGGAGACGGTCATGGAGCTGGCACACGGCCACCCGATGGCGGGACACCTAGGAGCCGACAATACCGTCGCGCGCATCCAGGACCGTTTTCACTGGCCCGGACTAGAGGCGGAAGTGAAACGGTTCTGCCGTAGCTGTCCCACCTGCCAGCAGACGTCTCCGTGCCGCCCTCCCCCAGCCCGCTCATTCCACTACCCGTCATTGATGTGCCCTTCGAGCGGATCGGGATGGATCTGGTAGGACCGCTGCTGAAGTATGCCCGGGGACATGAGCACATCCTGGTTATCCTGGACTATGCCACCCGTTACCCGGAAGCCATTCCACTGCGAGCGGCCAACGCCAAGAACATTGCCCACGAACTGTTTCTGCTGGCCAGCCGCATCGGGATCCCAAAGGAAATCCTGACTGACCAGGGTAACCCCTTCACGTCCCGGGTCATGGCGGACCTCTGTCACCTCCTCAAGATCCAGCAACTGAGGACGTCAGTCTACCACCCGCAAACGGATGGTCTGGTGGAGCGGTTCAACCAGATGCTCAAACGGATGCTGAAGCGGGTGGTGGCCGAGGATGGGCGTGACTGGGACCTCATGATCCCGTACGTGCTCTTTGGAGTCCGGGAAGTACCACAGGCTTCAGGCCCGGGAGTTCCAGCCAGCAGATGGGACCGGTGACGTACCGGGTGCGGCAACCGGGCCGCCGACGGACGGAGCAAACCGTTCTACCACGTCAACTTGCTCCAAAAGTGGGTTCCCCGGCCCGAGCAACTGGCCACGCTAGCCCCCAGTAGTGGACATGGAACCGCAGCTGTCGGTGACCCAGAAAACGGAGCTTGAGGCCCTGGTCAGTCAGTTCCGGGATGTGTTCAGTGAGACCCTGGGTAGAACTACCGTCATCGAGCACGAGGTCCGCACACCACCCGGAGTCGTAGTCCAGCAGAGGCCTTACCGGATACCGGAAGCTCGCCGGCCGGCTATAGAGGAGGAAGTCAAGAAGATGCTCCAACTA